GTCCGCTTTCCACGTCCATCTCGGCGGCGTAGCCCGAGCCCTAGGCGGCGCCCCAGCTGCCGCGCTGCCGCACTCGACCCCGAGGATGAAACTGTTCCGAAATGAGGAGGTCCTGCGAGTCATGGGGAAGTCACTATATACCCGTCGCGGCGCTGCGCGTCGTTCGGTGGGGTGGCAGTGCGGTGGTGACTCAAGGCCACGACCCGTCGCGAGGCGCCGCGGGCCTGGGTCCTGCTGAGATGCGGAGGTGCGCTCCCGTATCAGTGGCCGTGGGGAAGATGCCGCTGTTCTCTCCCAGTGGCGGCCAGGGCGCAGAAATTAGGTGGTGCTCGCCAGCGGCAACGGTCGGTCCAAGCGCCGCTCCATGTCTGTCTCGTACATACGTACGTACCGGAGTCTTACCGCACCCGGCCTCAGTGCGGAGCTATGAGATCATCCATAAAGTAGGTCCGCTGTTTTTCGCCCCCAAAACACCCCCTCATATTTTCGTAGACCCTTTTCCGACGTCCCCCTCACTTCTTACTCTACTCTTACTGAGACTGAGGTGGACGATCGGACCGCCCGGCAGGTAGGCACGCCCGCCGCGCGGCGCTGCACAACTGTCGGGGTGTCTGCCTACCCCCCAGGCGGCTCGGGTTCTTCCCTCTCGACACGCACGGCACCCGCGTCAGGAGGCGAGTTATTTGGGATCTTCTTAGACGCAGCGCCTCTGACGCTTGACAGAGCTCCATTTCCATGCAGCGGAGACATCTGCATGCCCACCGCGCATCTACCCGGGCCCTGCAGACTGATTCAGAAGAGCGCTCTCCTCGCTCCGTCTCTCTCCCACTCATGGAGCGCGCCGTACAGGTGCGAGAGAGACGGAGCGAGGAGAGCGCTCTTCTGAATCAGTCTGCTGTGCGTACTGAGTGCCTGACGCCGCTGGTTATCCTCCCCGCCCCTCCCACGCACTGGGATTTGGTCGGTCTAGGTCTAGAGGCTGGAGGTGGACGATGTCAAATACAAAACTCGTTTTGGATGGGCGCCAGAGAGTGGTGGGAAAGGGGAGACTGG